TTCCAACTCTCATCAACCCCAGCCGCTGGCCTGGTACAGTGTTCTCCATTGCAAAGTACATTGCATGACTTTTGTGTTGCAGTACATAACAGCATAGGGACGCGGGTGGCGCTGTGGGTAAAAGCCTCAGCGCCTAGGGCTTGCTGATCGAAAGGTCGGCGGTTCGAATCCCCGCGGCAGGGTGCGCTCCCGTCCTTCGGTCCCAGCGCCTGCCAACCTAGCAGTTCGAAAGCACCCCCAGGTGCAAGTAGATAAATAGGGACCGCTTACTGGCGGGAAGGTAAACGGCGTTTCCGTGTGCTGTGCTGGCTCGCCAGATGCAGCTTTCTCACGCTGGCCACGTAACCCAGAAAGTGTCGCCGGACAGCGCTGGCCCCCGGCCTCTTAAGTGAGATGGGCACACAACCCTAGAGTCTGTCAAGACTGGCCCGTATGGGCAGGGGTACCTTTACCTTTACCTTTTTACATAACAGCATATCATTTAGTTATTAAACATGATCTGTCTACATCTCAAACCTAGACAGCATCTTAAAAAGCAGAGCCATATCACTTTGCTGACAAAGGTCCATATAGTTAAAGCTATGGTTTTCCCAGTTGTGATGTATGGAAGTGAGAGCTGGACCATAAAGAAGGCTGATCGCCAAAGAATTGATGCTTTTGAATTATGGTGCAGGAAGAGACTCTTGAGAGTCCCATGGACTGCAAAAAGATCAAACCTATCCATTCTGAAGGAAATCAACCCTGAGTGCTCACTGGAAGGACAGATCCTGAAGCTGAGGCTCCAATACTTTGGCCACCTCATGAGAAGAGAAGACTCCCTGGAAAAGACCCTGATGTTGGGAACGATGGAGGGCACAAGGAGAAGGGGCCAACAGAGGACGAGATGGTTGGACAGTGTTCTCGAAGTTACCAGCATGAGTTTGACCAAACTGCGGGAGGCAGTGGAAGACAGGAGTACCTGGTGTACTCTGGTCCATGGGGTCCCAAAGAGTCAGACATGACTAAACGACTAAATAACAACAATCTACATCTCAGGAGACTACCGTGCTGCAAGCAGGCCTGGAAGAAAATAAAGCACATTATTAGAAGAGTGTGATAATGGAAGGAGCCCTATCTAGTAATTCAAAGCAGTTGTGGTTGTCTATGGAATTCCCTTCCAGGGAAGCGTAAACTGGCCCCATTTCATATATATATAATTTTTATTAATTTTTTTTTGTTTTACACTTTAAAGTACTCATTTTTACATCCTTAAGATATCATTGACTTCCCTTCTCTTTCCATGGTTCATTTTACATCTCATAAATCCTTGCATATTTTACAAATACTATACCATTCAGTATTCCATTATTACATCCATCAAAAATTATTTACAGTGTTGAATTTATCTTAATGCTGCGCTGCCAGCGTTTTCAGCTGTACACAATTATTCCCCATACAGTGGTGCCCCGCAAGACGAATGCCTCGCAAGACGGAAAACCCACAAGACGAAAGGGTTTTCCGTTTTGGAGGCGCTTCGCAAGACGAATTTCCCTATGGGCTTGCTTCGCAAGAAGAAAGCCCATAGGGAAATCTCTGGGGACCTCTTTTAAATGCTGGCGGTGGGGAGCAAAGCCTTCCCCCCCCCTCTGGCCTTCAGAAGAGGTCCAGGAAGGCCAGCAGGGGCCGAAAGGCTTTGCTCCCCACCGCCAGCATTTTAAAAGTGGTCCGGGATAGCAGGGAAGCGCTTCCCGCTATCCCGGACGGCTTTTGAAGGCAGGCGGGGGGGAGCAAAGACTTTTGCCCCCCGCCGGCCTTCAGAAGAGGTCCAGGACCTCTTCTGAAGGCCGCCGGGGGGCAAAAGTCTTTGCTCCCCCCTGCCTGCCTTCCCGGGGGCTTTTAAATCGCCCCGGGACAGCGGAGAAGTCCTCCGCTGTCCCGGGGCGATTTTAAAATGCTGGCGGGCGGCAGCGAAGGCTTTGCTGCCGCCCGCCAGCATTTTAAAATCGCCCCGGACAGCGGAGAAGTCCTCCGCTGTCCTGGGGTTTTTTAAAATGTTGGGGGTGGGAAGAAAAGCCCTTGTCCCCCCCCCCAGCCTTCAGAAGAGGTCGGGGGACAGACTGTCCCCGGACCTGGTCTGAAGGCGGTTTCCATAGGAACGCATTGATTGATTTTCAATGCATTCATATGGGAAACCGTGCTTCGCAAGATGAAAAACTCGCAAGAAGAAAAAACTTGCGGAACGAATTAATTTCGTCTTGCGAGGCACCACTGCATATTCAATAAACGTTTTCCAATCTTCTCTAAACGTATGTTCTTCTTGTTCACTTATTCTACATGTTAATTCTGCAAGCTGCACATATTCTGTCAATTTAAGTTGCCATTCTTCTTTGGCTGGGACCTCACATGTTTTCCAGCTGGCCCCATATCTATCTGATTTTCAGCAGGCATCTTTTCTGCCTCAATTTAAAAGATTTTAAATAAGAGGCTGAGTGATTAAACCTCTTAGTTTTGCAGATCTAGTTTAATGTGGCTTATTGCTTAAACTTTGCAATTTGGTTTTTGTTCTTCAGCTTAGGTAAAGGTAAAGGGACCCCTGATCATTAGGTCCAGTCGAGGACGACTCTGGGGTTGTGGCGCTCATCTCGCTTTATTGGCTGAGGGAGCCAGTGTACAGTTTCCGGGTCATGTGGCCAGCATGACTAAGCCGCTTCTGGCGAACCAGAGCAGCACACGGAAACGCCGTTTACCTTCCCGTTGGAGCGGTATCTATTTATCTACTTGCAATCTGACATGCTTTCGAACTGCTAGGTTGGCAGGAGCAGGGACCGAGAAACGGGAGATCACCCCGTCGCAGTGATTCGAACAGCCAACCTTCTGATTGGCAAGTCCTAGGCTCTGTGGTTTAACCCAGTGTTTCCCAACCGGTGTTCCGCGGCACACTAGTGTGCCGTGGAACTTTGCCTTGTGTTCCGTGGAGGCGGGCGAGTCGGGCGGTGAGAGGCGGGGCGGCGGCGGCGAGCACACGCGGGTGCGGCGAGCGAGCGAGCTCCCACATCCCATCGCCGCTCGCTACTGGGCCTGCGCATCCGCTCGCTACTGGGCCTGCCCCAGGAGGTGGGGTTGCGGGCATCACGCCCTTCCCCACGTGAGCGGGGAATCCCATCCGCCCCCACGTGAGCGGGGAATCCCATCTCAGCCCCCCCCGAGAGCAGGGGAATCCCATCCGGCCACGCCTCCTGGCCAGCCAATCGGCTGGCTGGAGGGGGCGTGGCTTGCCCTTTTTAGGGCCGGAGCGGAGGGGGCTCGCCCTCTCTTCTCCGGCTAGCCCCATTGCCGCTTGCTACATCCTATCGCCGCTCGCTACTGGGCCTGCGCATGCTCGGCGAGCACACACGGGGCAGCGAGCTAGCGAGCTCCCACATCCGACGGCACCAAGCAGGGGCCCTTGGCCGTGCCGGTGCCCACCGTGCCCGCCTCCGCCCAGGAGGGCGGCAAGCAGCCACCGCCACCACCACCCCCGCCGCTGCCCGGCAACCGCGCCGCCGCCCCCGGCTCCCCGCGGCGGGTGATCGTGCAGGCTTCGACGGGCGAGCTGCGAGCTCGGCGGGCAGCGCCTCCGTCCGCAGCGCCCGCCTCGCGGCTCTCATTCCCTGCCCCTGCCAAAGCTCACTCAGCCAAGCCGTGCTCTCCTTCCTGCCTCGCTTTGCTGCCTCCTCCCCCCCCCACCCCCAAAGCTTGGAGGTTCCCCGGCAAGGGGGAGGGGAAAAAATTGAAAACTTTCACTTTCGTGCGTCCCTCCCGGCGTGACGCTGCGCGCTGACGTCACGGGGCGGGGCTTTAATGGTGGTGTGCCGTGAGATTTTTTTTCAGTAAACAGGTGTGCCGTTGCCCAAAAAAGTTTGGGAAACACTGGTTTAACCCACAGCACCACCCACATCCCTCTTAATTGGGGGCTCTTAATTGGGGTGATTTGGTTAGAAGAAAACAAACTTGGTTTAAACTTTCTGTGCTAGTATGGGCTTACACTTACCGTTTGCTCACTCTTTCCAGACACAGGTGCCCAGTTAAAAGCTCTTCCTCAGATTGTGTAGGTATTTTCTGCCCCTGAGGTTTGCCTGCAAAAACCCACTCTTTGGTGCTCAGTTGGAGCAAACGTCAATTTGGGTTTTCCGTGGATTGTCGTTTGCTCTGATTCCACTTCAAAGAGCGGGTTTTTGCGGGGAAAGCACAGCAAAAAAGAAAAGAGCGAAGGAAAGTTAAGCATGGCTAAGCCCGGCGCATTCCTTAAATCTCATTGAAACAGGAAGCAGAAACTCAAGATGGTTGACATGCAATCTTCGGGTTTGCCAGAAGATGCCACCCTTGCTCCTCACATTGCCAAGTAAAACAAAAATACACCCCCTAAAAAATGCAGGGGGGGGGAGTCTAACCCCCTGTACAGCGCAGGTGCTTAATGGAGCTACCCTGTTAGGCTGGATCTTAAATCCATTCCAGCTCAGCCACATGACCTGGCAAACAGGCATAAATTAAGCTGGCAGAAAGGGTGGTGTAATTCACAACACTATTCGGCAAGGCAAGGCCAAGATGCTGGTGCAAAGTCAAGGAAAGCTGAAGTACACCCGATGCAAACTCCATTCTGGAGAAGGGCTGCTGCTACTACTACTATACTACTACTACTACTACTACTACTACTACTACTACTGAAGGTGTTGACTTAAGCCTGGCGTCCCTTTCTGCCCAAACAGACCCAATTTATTTCCTCTTAGTTGCGTCGTTATTAGGATCCCACACAGCTAAAGAACCCAAGAATGTGAAACGAGACTGCTAGACCAGGCCAAGGGCCCATCAATTCCAGTATTCTCACGGTGGTGCCTGTGGGAAACCAGGGAGCAGGATCTGAGCACAAGAGCATCTCTCCCCTCCAGCATCCAGCAAGTGAGACGCAGCAAGTGGCATCCAGCAAGTGAGACGCAGCAGTATCTCCAGCCGCGCACAGCTAAAGGAAGCCCTTCTTCTCTTACCTTCCTTCGTGTTCCTCCTCTCCCTTTCAGCAGCTCTCGACGCCACCCATTTCCGCACTGGAATCTCTCTTCGGAGATCTGGCCCTGCCGATCCCGCCCCGAGGGGAGATCCGAAAGCCTCGCAGCTCGCCCCTCCTTCCCCCTGCGGAGAAGAGAAGCCTGGATCATAGGTTGGGAAGGGCTTGCGTGCGCTTTTAACACCGCTTGACTCCGCCCCTGCAAAGTTCGCCGAAAGAGGAAGAAAAGCGCCAGGCGCGCTCCGGGCAGTGGGTGGCCCCTTTCGGGAGCAGGAGAGCGAAAGGAAAGAGAAGAAATCGAGGGGATCGCTCCCCGTGGGGCGCAGCGTACACTATCTGGGGATCTCTCCTGCTTGGGGAGAGAAGACGGTGGAGAGGGATCTGGTCCCTTCCCCGCTGCGCGTCGATCTTTTTGGAGCCGAGGAGGTGGTGCCCCCACTAGCGCGGGCTGGCCGCTTCCAGGTTTTCCCCTCGCCATCCCTGCAGAGAGAAAGACTCGCCCGGGTAGGTTTTTCCTTAGGATCGAACTTGTGGGAAACTGCCTCCGGCCGCCTGCTTCCTTCCCGTTGCGCTCGAGGGAAGCGAGAGGGGGAAGGGGAGGCGCGCAGGAAAATGAAACTAAGGTGGTGCCTCTGTGAGGTGCGCGCGTAAACTTCATCCGGCAGCCTTTCTCAACCTGTGGGTCCCCAGATGTTGTTGAACTACAACTCCCATCACCCCTAGCTAGCAAGGCCAGAGCTCAGGGATGATGGGAGTTGTAGTCCAACAACATCTGGGGACCCACAGGTTGAGAACCTCTGCGCCCTGGTGAAGTCCGTGATTTCAAGAGGCGGCTCGCTGAATGAGGGCGGGATGACGGATGGTGGTGGGAACTCCTTCCCATTATTAGTCACCATCCGGATCCTAAGCTAAGTGCTTCCCTTTGTGTGTTGTGTGGCTAGGAGTGCAGCCAGGTGCCTTCTTGGGTTTTGCTCAAAAGTTTTAACCGGCCACAATCTCGCTCTGCTCTTGCGGATATGGAGTTGGAGAGGGGTTTGGGCATGAGGGAGATGAAATCTACTTACCAGAAGACTTAGGCCCCTCCAAACTCGTATTTTGCTGCACTTAATAACATCTTTCTTCTTTGGCAATCACTCCTGGCTGAGTAAGATTGTCTTCCATAAACACGGTTTTAACAGTGAGTCCGTAAGTGACTGTGGAGGCCAATTCTGGATTCACACATCCTTCCACAGTGGGGACATAGGTTTCCCGATGAGAGTTGATTATGGTGATGGTTTGCCAAATGTGCCTTCCTCTTAGCACATTTTCCCCTTTCATCCTGAGTTCGAGCATCTTCAAAGCCCATGACACCTTTGGTAAAGGTTGTTCCTCAACTGGAGCACTCACAGGCCAGTGTTTCCCAGTTGTCGGTGTTTATACTACATTTTTTTGGATTTGCCTTGAGAGAGTCTTTGAACCTCTTTTGTTGACCACCAGCAATACACTTACCATTTTTAAGTTTGGAAGAGAGTACAGTTGTACCTCAGGTTAAGTACTTAATTCGTTCCGGAGGTCTGTACTTAACCTGAAACTGTTCTTAACCTGAAGCACCACTTTAGCTAATGGGGCCTCCTGCTGCCGCCGTGCCGCCGGAGCATGATTTCGTCTCTCATCCTGAAGCAAAGTTCTTAACCTGAGGTAATATTTCTGGGTTAGCGAAGTCTGTAACCTGAAGCGTATGTAACCTGAAGCGTATGTAACCCGAGGTACCACTGTAGTTGCTTTGGAAGACGATCAGGCATCCACACAATACAACCAGTCCAACGAAGTTGATGTTGAAGAATCATTGCTTCAACACTGGTGATCTTTGCTTATTCCAGCACACTGGCATTAGTTGGCCTGTCTTCCCAGGTGATATGTACATTTTTTCGAAGACACTGTTGATGGAATCTTTCAAGGAGTTGGAGATGGCGTTTATAAGTGGTCCGTGTTTCACAAGCATACAGTAAGGTCGGTAGTAAACAAGCTTTTGTAAACAAACATTTTGGTTTCCCTGCAAAAGTCCTCAAACACTCTGCACTTCAGTTGGGAGAAAGCTGCCTTTAAATGTAGTTTTTTAAATACCTTTTTTTTACCAAGGCATGAAAGTGGATAGGGGAGGAGGAGGCTGTGAAATGATTGGTTCCTACAATTTCCATAATCCCAGAATTTCCTGCCTATTGTTCGCCTTGCCCATCCTTGGTCGTCCTGTTCCTGTTTGCTTAACAAAAGGGTGAAAGACTGTGATAGTGGGCACTTATCTGAACCTAGGCATCTCTGCCTGGGATCTGCCTTTAAATCACTTTACCATTGTGTGGATGGATCCCACTGAGGGGCTGGATATCCTGTACTTAGCAGTCCTATTTTGGCATGTGTTAGGTCAGAGGTAAAGGTAAAGGGACCCCTGACCATTAGGTCCAGTCGTGACCAACTCTGGGGTTGCGGTGCTCATCTCGCTTTATTGGCCGAGGGAGCCGGCGTACAGCCTCCGGGTCATGTGGCCAGCATGACTAAGCTGCTTCTGGCGAACCAGAGCAGCACACGGAAACGCCATTTACCTTCCCGCCGGAGTGGTACCTATTTATCTACTTGCACTTTGACGTGCTTTCGAACTGCTAGGTTGGCAGGAGCAGGGACCGAGCAACCTGCCAACCCCGTCACGGGGATTCGAACCGCCGACCTTCTGATTGGCAAGTCTTAGGTTCTGTAGTTTAACCCACAGCGCCACCCACGTCCATAGGTCAGATGTAGGTGGATTCAATTGGACACGCGTCATTCCAAGTGCCTGGCTGATTTCTAACACTGAGTGCAAGGTGGCAGATATGATTCTCTTCCTTCCCATTTGATCCTCACAGCCAATTCCGTGAGATAGGCTAAGTTGAGACTGTGACCAGCCCAGGGCCACCCAGTGAGTTTCATGGCTGAGCAGGTCCTGAGCAGCTCTAACCACTATGCAACACAGTCTCTCTTTTGAGAGGCATGCTGGTCGTGCATGCCCTTTCCGTTCTTCTGCAGAAGCCTTCCCCTATCCCCTGAAGATGAGGAATCTGAGTCCAGGACCATGATGTCTCCTTCTGTTCTATTTGCTACAACAGAATTCTTTCCCCCAAGCCTGATTTCAGTAGCAGGGAGGTGAGCTTGCAGGTGCTGGGGGAGGCCTCTGGGGGGTCCAAGTGCACCCAGTGGGTACCAATATGGTGACCCATATAAAGCAGATTCTTTATGTTTCTCAATTCTTGTTGCAACTGTTGTTGCTACTACTTCTGTTGCTCAGGCTACAATGATGTACATTGTTGCCTCAAAGTAATTCCCATTTCCTTTTTCCCTATATGCCCCCAAAGGGCTTTGCAACAATAGTTGAGAAACATAAGAATCTGCCTTATATGTAGCAAGACCACTGGTCCATTCAGCCCTGACTGGCCAGAGAATCATAGAATTGTAGGGTTGAAAGGGGCCACAAGGTTCATCTTTTTGCAGGAATCTTTTTGCACAACGTGGGGTTCAGACCCGCAACCCTGAGATTAAGAGTCTCATGCTCTACTGACTGAGGTATCCTGTTGGGTTGGGAAAATATGAGCTTTCCCCAACGCAACAGGGTAAAGAACATGCATACCCTGTGAGCTAAAAAGCAGCTAAAAAAATACTGCAAATTAAAAGTAAAGGTAAAGGGACCCCTGACCATTAGGTCCAGTCGTGGCCGACTCGGGGGTTGCGGCACTCATCTCGCTTTATTGGCCAAGGGACCCGGCGTACAGCTTCCGGGTCATGTGGCCAGCATGACTAAGCCACTTCTGGCGAACCAGAGAAGTGCACGGAAATGCCGTTTACCCTAGCCCTAACCCTATTTATCTACTTGCACTTTCACGTGCTTTGGAACTGCTAGGTTGGCAGGAGCAGGGACCGAGCAACGGGAGCTCACCCCGTCGCGGGGATTCGAACCGCCGACCTTCTGATCGGCAAGTCCTAGGCTCTGTGGTTTAATCCACAGCACCACCCGCGTCCCTTAAAGTAAAAGTAGAGTTGCCATATTTCAAAAAGTGAAAATCCGGACACAAAAGTTGCTTAGTTGGTTTGTTTGTTTGTTGGGAAAATCTCCACAAAAAGAAGTTTCTGAGCTATTTTTAAGAAAATTCACCCCTAAAATCTACATTTCTGACATAGGTTGCCATACGCCCAGGTTTCCCCAGACATTCTGCCCGGACGCTATTTCTGACGGATGAATCCCAGAAATATGGCAGCCCTAAAAGAAAACATTAAACAGTAATACATTAAAACAGCTAAGCAGCCAGAGAAAAATGGGAATTAAAACTAAACCCATGAAACCCCAAGCCCTCCTACTTCCCAAAGTAGCATTCAGCTGAAATGGGGACCAAATGCTTCATATTATGCTTAGGAACGTGTTTGTGTGTGTGAAGCCCATGACATCCCCCTCCAAAAGCCCCCCTCACAAAGCTCTACTTCCCAGCAACCTTTGAGAAAACCACAATTCCCAGGATCCTTTGGGGGAAATCATGTGCTTTAAATGTATGGTGTATACGCAGCCTTTGTGCAACTGGCACAGTGGCGCTGTTGGCAATGCCAACCTGTTAAGAATTAGAACTTGCCAATAATTGCCCTAGATAGACCAATGCCAGACATATTGATCCTGTTAGCTTGAGGCTGACACCCCCCACCCCAATTATTATTATTATTACAATTCAGCCATAGGAACCAATGTAGTAATAGAGCAGACCCATTAAAATTAATGGCCTTAAATTAGGCATGACTAACGTAAGTCCATTGTTTTCAGTGGGTCTACTCTCAGTGAAATCTACTCCAATACCACTCGTTAGATCCTGTATATTTTTATTTATGTCTTAATTACCTCACACAATAAGGCTCAGCAACCTGGAACACTAATATGAAGCCAAAATCTTAAAACAAAGCAGTAGACAAATGATTCCTGTTAATGCAAGCTTAGCAGAAAGAAAGAAAGAAAGAAAGAAAGAAAGAAAGAAAGAAAGAAAGAAAGAAAGAAAGAAAGATAGCTGATTTTGGCAATGATGCAGTCAATTTAATTATTTAAAGTGAGTTAATCACTACCTTTAAATGTTTAGATTATACTTTGGTACGTATAAGGTGGATTGACAGAATAAACTATTGGACTGTGCAGAGATGGCAAAAATGACTGGGAAAATCAGAAACCAGGAGGATCAAAACTTCAACAAAAATGGGGAAATTTTATATTATATTTGAATGACCCCTGTAAACATTTGAACTCTTTGGCAGGTCTTAAATAACTTGTAATGTAAAATAGACTTTGGGTACAATAGAGGACTGAAAAATTAGGAGGATTTATAGTATGCAGTTGAAAAAGTTAACTAAAGAACCCATGGGGGGGGAGTCTAGAGATTTGGAAGATTCTTGTGTAATTTTTATTATTTGTGATTTTGAGTGCGAATGAATTTGTAAAACCAAATAAAAATCATTTTACAAAAAAAATACGTTTAGTTTATATAACATAGAAAAGATATTTAAAAGCCTGGGAACATAGAAGTCTTTTGTCTGCCGTTAAGGTGGGTGACGACCTGGCCTCTTAATGGAGACCACTTCTCAAATGGGAAGCCACCATTATAAATGCCCTCCCCTTGTAGACACCCTCCATTTTTTATCATATAGACTTTCAAGAGAAGGTTCTTCATGGATTTTCCCTACTACTCTACAAGATGTCACATACTGGCCAGACCAAAAGCAGCATGAAGGACACTGCTTGTTACCTGTGCGCACTTACCTGAGAGTAAGCTAGCTTGAACACTCTGGGATTGATTTATGACCAAACGTGCATAGGATTGCGCTCTTACTGTTACCTTTGTGCCATCCTCGGGTCTTTGGTAGGTCTGCGCAGCTTTCTTCGTGGCCTTTTGGCCGTCGTGTCCTGTGGCAGTGGAAATACAGACCGCACAATGCCTTCTCTTTTCACATTGCAGGCCCTGGGATTTCTCTCTACGGATTGCTGGAGTGCCCCACGAGCCACAAACATGTCCTTGGATGACATTCAGATGAATTCGGAGGACTTTTTGCAAAAAGAGCAGCTGGACGCCGGCGGATTTGGAATGGTTTCGCTGTGTTACCACAAGAGGCACGGGCTTGTGGTGCTGAAAACGGTGTACACAGGGCCTCAGCGCACAGAGTAAGTTGGTCAGAGGGAGATCCTTTGCAGACAAGAGAGAGCAGTGTAGAGCTATCTACCACTGAGCTCCTGCCAGTTTCTTTTCTTATTTTTCTTATTTTTCTTAAATATTTTGTTGTTGTTTAGTCGTTTAGTCGTGTCCGACTCTTCGTGACCCTATGGACCAGAGCACGCCAGGCACTCCTGTCTTCCACTGCCTCCCGCAGTTTGGTCAAACACATGCTGGTAGCTTCGAGAACACCGTCCAACCATCTCGTCCTCTGTCGTCCCCTTCTCCTTGTGCCCTCCATCTTTCCCAACATCAGGGTCTTTTCCAGGGAGTCTTCTCTTCTCATGAGGTGGCCAAAGTATTGGAGCCTCAGCTTCAGGATCTGTCCTTCCAGTGAGCACTCAGGGCTGATTTCCTTCAGAATGGATAGGTTATTAAATATTACAAGGAAAATAGAAAAGGAAAATCAAAACAAAATCCATACATAACAATATAAACACAATCGTCTACATATTTACCAAATGCAGACTAAAGAAGAAAAAAGACAAAAAGATAAAAGAAAAGAAAAAAAGAAAGGGGGGAAGAAAAAAAAACTTTCCATAATCAATAATACCAAATTTATACTTTAAACATTTCATTATAAAAATCCTAGTTAAAATATTTTAAAAGACTTCCACCGCATTCACCACATGTCTCTTAATTTCTAGTTCACCTTTACATCTGTTCTTCAGTCACTTTCCTTAAGTTCTTTCATTGTCCATCAAATCTTTATATTCTTCACAAGGTTAGTCTAAGCACAACCAAACTTTCGTATTTGCCCCCTGCTTGTGTAAATATTCATTTAGACAATTCCATTGTCTCTGTACCATAATTTTGGATTTGTGGCTTATTAAGTCCAGCTCCTGCCAGTTTCTGATTGGATAGGCTTCTCTCTCAACTTTTCGAGGGTTTTGCTTGCCCAGAGATCTGTGCAGCGAGAACAAAAGACGAGCCCAGCTGGATCAAACCAAATGACTGTTCTCACCAGTCAGATGCCCATGGGAGGTCCACACACAGCTCATGAAGGCAATGGCCGTCTCCCACTCTTATTTCCCAGCTCCAACAATTAAAGTTTCCTTTAGGCCAGCCTTTCTCAACCTGTGGGTCCCCAGATGTTGTTGGACTACAACTCCCATCACCCCTAGCTAGCAAGGCCAGAGCTCAGGGATGATGGGAGTTGTAGTCCAACAACATCTGGGGACCCACAGGTTGAGAACCGCTGCTTTAGGCTCACATCACCCATCCCCAGAGAAGGCTGCCTCCTAGTTAGCCTCCACGGCTGATGGCGCCTCTGCTCCAGATCTGAGTGGAAACTCGACAGATCAGAGCTATAGCTCAGTCGGTAGAGCATTAGACTGTTAATCTCGGGGTCGTGGGTTCAAGTCCCCCACTGGGCAAAAGATTCCCGCATTGCAAGGGGTTGGACTAGAATTCAGTGTTCCCCAACCTTGGGCCTCCAGCTGTTTTTGGACTACAATTCCCATCATCCTTGACCACTAGTCTTGCTAGCGAGGGATGATGGGAGTTGTAGTCCAAAAACAGCTGGAGGCCCAATGTTGGGGAACACTGGACTAGATGACCCTTGGTTCATAGAATCATAGAGTTGGAAGGGACCCTGGGGATCATCTAGTCCAACCCCTGCAATGCAGATGTTCCTTATGGGGATCGAACCTGCAACCTCGATGTTATCCGCTCTAACCAGCTGAGATATCCAGCTTGCATTCTATGAAATCATTCTCTGTAGGACTCCTTGCTATAGCCATGGTCCTTATCTGATGGTGGCTGCAGCAGCACACTGGGCAGCTGGGTGTGGGGGAGGCTGCCATTTCCCACAATGCCTTGGGGCAACCCATTGACAGGGCATTGTGGGAAATTAAAATAGTGTCTTCAGTAGACCCAACTGCCCAACACAAATGCCAGTGGGGATTAAAAAGGGGCTCCAGGCCAGGCATCAGTGTGGGTCCTGGCAGTTGCCCACGCATGCTACTCGTTGACGCTAGGCCTGACTAGATTATGTGTCATTAGATCATTCAGCCACTCCTGGTGTGACAGCTTGGCAGACCTACCTGCCATTTTGCCACCTTGCCCACTCTAAAAGAAAACCACCTGTGTGTTAAGAGTTGAAGTGTGTCTCCAATTTTAATTCAGATTTTTAAAATGCATTATCCCACTGTTATAAATTTGGGAAGCACTAGCCTGTAGTTCCCAGCCAGAATGCTATGCAAATGACTGAATGAATAATTAGTCATAACGATGCTAACTCCACTCAGACACAAGGCAGGATTTCACCCAGCAAGGCAGTTGCCATTTCGTTCATAGATTATGCTGCAGCTTGAGCTATGCAGGTTTGGCTCATCATTTTGGAGAGTTCAGGTGAAGAAGTTGACATTTCTGCCTGTCACCTTGCAATGTCTTAGTCTATAGCTCTATTGCCTTCTTGGCAGTCATGCACACTGGTAATCCCATAGTACCTGTTTCCCCCCTCAGGTGTAACACGTCCCTTCTCGAAGAAGGCAAGATTATGCTCAGACTAAACCATGACCGTGTGGTGAAGCTACTGGGCATCATTTTGGAAGATGGCAACTACTCCCTGGTGATGGAATACGTACGCAAAGGAAACCTGATGTCCGTACTAAAGGCAGTGAGTAGAGAGCATGATTGACACACTGGGAAGAAGCCAGGCAGTAATTTTTGAGATTGTACCACAGCTTTGGAAAATGGTATTCAAACGTTGTCTGTCATCTCGGGCTGTTTCCATCAACACCTTTTTTGTCCGTTCCAGGGGAAATGTTTTCATCATTGGTTTGGACCTGGATCAGGTCTAAGACATGCTAATAGTGAATGTTAGGGACACACTAGTTCTGGGCGTTGCAGCTCATAAATTTGAGTGTTTGCTCTCTATGGGGGATCATGATTTCTGCACCAGCGAACCTCCTGTTCATAATTTGTGCTGTAAAATGGAGCAGTCTTGCATTGCTCCCAAGATCCAGATTTCCAAAGTACTGGGAAGGTTTGGGCCAGATAGTAATAAGCTTATATAATATGTTTAAGCTTCTGTCTGGCAGTGGGTTAGTCCTGAGGTCTTGGCACTTTCGCAAGGATGCCAGTCCCTGTTGCCATCTAGAATCTGCCCATCATAACGGTGGGTAGTTGCTTATCTGTTAATATTTCTCATCAGCAGACAGATCACGTCCCGATTTTCTAAAATGTGCATCTCCAGATCTGCTGAATTGCAACTGGATTCTAGCCTCAGTGATGAGGATCCTTGTTGCTTCTTCGAAAAGCAAAGATAATTGGAATGAGCACTAGTTGTGTGTGCTTTATTCAAACCCCTTTAGCAACCATGATTCGTAAGGCTTAATATCTATTCCTGATGGATGTTCGTTCAACAGAGGACTGAATAAGTCAGTGCTCTTTTTAAAGATTTTAGCTGGTATTCAATTATGTTTAATCCTGAGTATACCCACTGAAATTAATGACCATGGCTAAGTTCACTCCATTAATTTTGATAGGTCTAACGTGAGTAAAACTTAATTGAATACCACTGCTTTTCATTTTTAAAAAAGGCAGTTTTTTGATCATGGCAGGTATAACTCGGTATATATACTAATATTCTGCTGTTTTTGCTTTATTGCAGACCTCTATTCCTTTGTCCGTGAAAGGGTGCTTCATCCTAGAGATCATTGAAGGAATGCTTTACTTAACTGAACAGGGCTTAGTTCACAAGGACCTAAAACCAGAAAATATCCTTGTAGACGAGGACTTTCATATTAAGGTACCATTAGCACATAATTCCTGGATGGGTGACATGTCAGTCTTAGGGCTAAACCAGATGTGGGCATGATTTATAGCAGAACCTGCCTGTTTGGCAAACCATGGTTTTGTGTGACTGCAAATGTGCTGGCTCCCAGGGAGATCGCAGCCACGTTGCTTCTCTCCTGGTCCTTGTAGTTCAGTGTAATGTGGCAACTAAGGCAAGGTATGGCTTTGCATGTTGTCTGAACCCAGGACTGTTGTTCTGCTCTCTCCTCCTTAACCAAGATCTGCAGCCAAGGTTTGTAAAGTGGGTGCAATCTGCTCCAGAAGCCGGTATGTTTACACAGTTGCAGTAAGCTAACCAGGCTTTTGCTCGCTATGCACATGTGGATGAGAAGGAAAACACACAGTTTCCCAGTGTTTTGCATTCCCTTCCAGGTATAGCAGGCCAGGAAAGGCTATACCACATGCTTTTTTGAATGTTCAGATCGGTGCACTCCATTTGACCCGGTTAACTTAAAAACACTATATTTAATTAAATAACAAATTACTTTGGGAAACATTTGATGTTGCACCAAGCATGTCGACTGCAAATTGTCCTCGACTGGAATATCCCCTAATGGGCACTGAACTTTAAGGAGGTGACTGGGAACGGCTGCTGAGACCACATAACACCGGTCTTGAAAGACCTACACTGGCTCCCAGTACGTTTCCGAGCACAATTCAAAGTGTTGGTGCTGACCTTTAAAGCCCTAAACGGCCTCAGTCCAGTATACCTGAAGGAGTGTCTCCACCCCCCTCGGTTTGCCCGGACACTGAAGTCCAGCACCAAGGGCCTTCTGGCGGTTCCCTCACTGCGAGAAGCCAAGTTACAGGGAACCAGGCAGAGGGCCTTCTCGGTAGTGGCACCCGCCCTGTGGAACACCCTCCCATCAGATGTCAAAGAGAAAAATAACTACCAAACTTTTAGAAGACATCTGAAGGCAGCCCTGTTTAGGGAAGCTTTTAATGTTTAATAGGTTATTGTATTTTTAGTGTTCTGTTGGAAGCCACCCAGAGTGGCTGGGGAAACCCAGCCAGATGGGCGGGGTATAATTATTATTATTATTTAGACAAACTGAAATGGGGTTAGAGAAAGGCAACAAAAGACTGTCAGCATTAAGGGAAAAAAACCCCTGTGTGGAATGGTTTGAAAGAACTGGGTGTGTTTAGTCTGGAAAAGAGAAGACTGAGAGTGTGGGGACATCATAGGCAAATGTGTGTTCTCTGCTGCAGACTGAGGTTGATTTAGTGGGCTTAAGATACAGGCAGGTAAATTTTGGTTGAGCATTAAGTCAAATTTCTTGAACTGCTGTGACAATGGAACCAATGACCTAGAGGGGTGGTGGGCTCTCCCTTTAAGTAGAGGGTGGATAGTACATCTATAGTGAATGTTCTAGCTCTGGATTTCCTGTGCCAAGCAGGAAGTTGGAGAAGATGGCCTGCGAGGGTCTCATCAGCTGTGTGCTTGTGTGATCTCAGTTGGACCTTGCTGCCCTAATGGTTCTCCATCCTTTCGTGCAGATAGCAGACCTTGGCGTGGCCCGCTTCAAAAGCTGGAGCAGGCTGACCAAAGAGGAGAGCATCCGGAAGATGAAAATCAACTGCAGCTCAAAGAGCAACGCCGGCACCCTTTTTTACATGGCCCCAGAACACTTGGCATCAGTTAACACCACGCCTGTGGAAAAATCAGACGTGTACAGCTTTGGCATAGTATTATGGGCCATCTTTGCCAACAAAGAACCCTATGAGAGTAAGTGTGATCAAATAACCTGCTTGCTGAAGTGTTTTTAGCTGCATATGGTTACAGTGGTACCTCGGGTTAAGTACTTAATTTGTTCTGGAGGTCTGTTCTTAACCTGAAACTGTTCTTAACCTGAAGCACCACTTTAGCTAATGCGGCCTGCTGCTGCTGCCATGCCGCCGGAGCACGATTTCTGTTCTTATCCTGAAGCAAAGTTCTTAACCTGAGGTAATATTTCTGGGTTAGCATAGTCTGTAACCTGAAGCGTATGTAACCCAAGGTACCACTGTATTTTTTTTTAATTAAAAAAACCTGTTCAATTTCTCTCTCCCCCACCAGATGCTTTGACTGACGCGCAAATATACTTCTGCATCATGCATGGGGACAGGCCTCTCATAGAGGAGATTGAAGAAAGTTGCCCAGGAGAGATCATTACACTAATGAAACAATCTTGGAGTCAAAAGCCGGAGGAACGGCCAACTTTTGCAGGTAGTGAGAGGGCATTTTTGCTGAAGTGGGTCCGGCATTATTTGAGTGCAAGAGGAAGGCAGCCTTAAGGTCATGTGGAATATTCAAGATGTTTTTAGTTTTTGGCTGGGTCTACAGGTACAGTGGGATGAGGAACAGCCAAGAGGTAACACTGCACTCCTTATAGGTGCCAAATCCATGGGGAAGTATGTGAAGACAGGTCTGAGCCCCACCCAATCTGTACGTTGAAATTTTGCACCCCCTAACAATTTTGCGCACGGAGCAACTGCCGCTGTGCCCTCCTGCCATGCTATGCCACTGCCATGTCACTTCTTACTTGCCTTTATAAAAGACAGCATAAGAACAGTCTCGTCTGTTTTTCACTGAGACCGCTTTGGGGGTTTTCTTTTACTAATTGACTAATCCTTTACTACAGAAATCAATTTGACGTACAAGCCATTTTATCAGCAGAACTTTGAAAAGGATGTTGAAGATGACTTGAGAAAGTTAAAAGTAAGTTTTTCAAACATTTATGGCTGAAAAAAGGAAAAGGGGCGAGAATTACTGGTGGAAATTGTAGGGGAACAGAGTCCAGCTATTAGGTAGGAGAAATTTCCTGAAAGTAAGAGCTGTCACACAGCTGAGCAATCTCCTTCACTGGAAGTATTGAAGCAGAGAATGTCAGGGACGCTATCGCTGCATCTGCATTGTAGATCCTGCAATAATCAGAGGGGTGTACTAAATGACTTCCTCAGTCCCTTCCAATTCTACCCCTAAAAGCATACAAAATCATAAGAAGAGACCAGCAGTGGTACCTGCCCTGTGGAAAAGCCTCCCACCAGATGTCAAGGAGATAAATAGCCATACAACTTTTAGAAGACATATGAAGGCAGTCCTGTATAGGGAATATTTTTAAGGTTTGATGTTTTATTATATCTTTATATCTGTTGGAAGCCATCCAGAGTGCCTGTGGCAACCCAATCAGATGGGCAGGGTATAATAATAATAATAATAATAATAATAATAATAATAATAATGGTAAAGGACCCCTGACTGTTAAGTCCAGTCACGAACGACTCTGGGGTTGTGGCGCTCATCTCGCTTTATTGGCCGAGGGAGTCGGCGTTTGTCCGTAGACAGTTTTTCCGGGTCCTGTGGCCAGCATGTCTAAGCTGCTTCTGGCGAACCAGAGCAGTGCACAGAAATGCTGTTTACCTTCCTGCTAGAGTGGTACCTATTTATCTACTTGCACTTGATGTGCTTTCGAACTGCTAGGTTGGCAGGAGCTGGGACCGAACAACAGGAGCTCACCCCGTCACGGGGATTCAAACCGCCAACCTTCCGATCAGCAAGCCCTAGGCTCAGTGGTTTAGACCACAGCGCCACCTGCGTCCCAATAATAATAATAATAATAATAATAATAATAATAATAATAATGCTGCCCAAATGCCTGTGTCAGGCTTCAGGGAATCTGATCCCCCTCCCTCACAGGAGGCTGCCAGTAATGAAAATACAAGAAGCTCTTACCAAGGTATTTTATTCAATAGTCACAGAGAGAGATGCAGGATGCTGTCTCTAGGATAATGGCATTGCTCTCAGTAATCTTCTCCCCCCTTTTACTCTCAGTCATCAGCAGCTCCACCCCTTTATACGGTGGCTGCGTGAGGACCTTTGTCTATTCGCTTTCTGTTCTCCCACTTTAACAGCCCTCCTCGTTCTAGGAGAAGGGAGTTGGGTTGGGAATGCTTTCTAATGATAATGTGTCAACCAGCTGTCCTGACTCTTCTGCTCCTCCTTCCTCTCCTTCCATTATCTCCCAGCTTTGTCCTTCTTCTGTCTCAGAGTCATGACCTTCTGCAAACAACTGTTGTAAGTCTATACTGTCCTCCTCTTCTTGGGAAGGTTCAGGAGAAGGGGGGGTGGCCTCCACCTTTCCTCTTCAGTCCAATCCCTGACAGCCTGTGAGAAACATTACTGTCTCCGGATGTGGAGACACCGCATAGTCATCATAGCTATAGCCTTGCCCTCCATGACTTGTCCACTCCTCTCTTAAAGTCATCCAAACTGGTGGCCATCGTTGCCTCCTGTGGAAGTGGGTCCCATGCTTGAACTATACATTGCATGAAGAATTACTTTTATCTGCCATGGCTATTTCGACGTTCAGCTTTATTGGGTGTCCACAGATTCTAGTGTTAGGAGAGAAGCAGTAGTGGGGCTGCTCCCTCGGTCTCTCTCTGACATTCTCATGTCTGAAATTTCATGTCTGAAATGGGAAAGTCTACATGTGTAAACCTCTAGACATGTAGGTTTCCCTGTGCAACAGGGTTCCTGACATCCTTAGTCCTACAGTCCAGCAGGATTTTGCTTGATGGGCACCCTAAGCAACATTACCCTAGAGGTTCTAGGTTCTTCCAGTGATTCAATCAGGTGTTTAGTTGCTCTTGTTCTCTGCGACAGGAAAAGTACCCTGAGCCAACGGAACTTATAAAAAGGATGCAGTCTCTCCAGGTGGATGCCGTGGCAGAACCACCAAGCAATGGCCGGACGGGTAATTCATTACAGTTGCTTAAGAGTTCATCCTTTTGGAGTTCATCCACATTTGGGGCAACTGCTGCACATTTCTTTACGATAAGAAGGACACCCATTGAAAACACATACAATCAAAGCCAAAGTACAGCGCAGATCACCGTTTCAGTGCTGATTAGGGCCAGTGCAGATTACAGTTTCAGTCTCTACTTTGTAAATAATAAATCATATCAGAGCTGGAGATTTTGTCTGGACTCTGGTTTATGACTCAAATTAGAGTATGTGTATATTTTATGATAGCGTCACAGAAGTGATGACGTCAGTTTGGGGTGGAGAATTCATCATCCCCTCTGTTTCTCTTTTTTGGGCAAGGGAAGCCCACACAGACAAACAGACAGTGCCTGGTGAAATCCCATAGCGTGGAAGCAGCAGGGGCTGAGCAGGATTTCCAAAACAACAACAAGCCAAGAACCATTCACACTTCCAAAAGTCATTATTCTTGCCGTCTATATTCAGAGTCTATAGCACCCAAAAGGCTCTTGACCTTTGGGTATTAGGCTGTAACCCACAGCCTGAGGTGTTGCAGCCGCCAAAGGAAACCTGCCAGCACGGCCTCAGGGTAGATCAATACCAAAGGTCCCTTTGGGTCATCCTGTTGGGTTGGCATAAGAACAAAGACCACACCTACTTTTTACATTGGGGGTGGATTCTGCTTGCCAGAAAGCATGAGGCAGAATAGCAGCCTCTTCCCTTTTATAGTACCTGTTAATATTGGAAGTGGTTTTTAAAAAATGTTTGCTGGCAGTTATTTATGCTGATTACTTGTTCAACCTGAGCTTCTGAATAGTCAGAATAGAGCAGGGCTTGGGTGGTACCTGGTTTTCATCATCACAATACACTGATATATCACATTGACATTATAGTGTATTTTTGGTCTATGTTGGAAGCCGCCCAGAGTGGCTGGGGAAACCCAGCCAGATGGGCAGGGTACAAATGATAAATTATTATTATTATTATTATTATTATTATTATTGCCTGAAGTAAGGATGGAGCTATGTACAGGCATTAACTGTCTTCACGGTTTTTCCTGCATCATGATTTTTGCATAGCACGCAAGCACACACACATCCTGATTGTGATATATTGCCAGGTCTAAAATTATGAAACCAACATCATGATATGGACTTCAAACTAGTTTGGGACAATATATTGATATACTGCTCATCCCTAGAACAGGGTGGTGGTGTGAACACACTTAATTCTTCCAATTGGGGAGAGTTATTTAGTATTCCTTTGTCCTTCTAGGCTTCTACCACCCAAGTGTGTTGAGTGGAAGTTTCGTGAGAGCACTTTCTATAATCTTCTGGTTTTGGAAGACTTCCTTCTAGTTCTCTCTGGTTGTGATTTTGAAGTATGATACCTTCACTTACTGTTTGCTGGGCCATGGGAAATGGCAGGCGATGCTAGAACTTCATGACAGAGCACAGTGGTACAGCAATACAGCAGTTTATGGCATCTCCCAGATGACAGCAAGTTAGGCTGACTGTATAAGACCATGTTTTGTGGAAGAGGACCAATATTTGTTTTATTAAAGCATAGCAACCCAACGAGCTTTTCATGCTTACAGCACAATTCAGTGCAAATCTACTCAGAAGTAATTCCCATTGAGTTCATTGGGATCCAAAGTTAGAGTGTAGGATAGGTCAGGGAAAGCTGTGACCCTCCCTATGCTGATGGGAATTGTAGTCTAACAGTTTTTGAAGGCCCATAGGCTCCCTGGCCCTGGATGCAGCCTTGATCTCACAGCAGTAGAGTCTCACCAAGCTGCTAGAACATGGGTAGGCAAACTAAGGCCCAGGGGCTGGATCTGGCCCAATTGCCTTCTAAATCCGGCCCGTGGACAGTCCGGGAATCAGCATGTTTTTACATTAGAATGTGTCCTTTTATTTAAAATGCATCTCTGTGTTACTTGTGGGGCATAGGAATTTGTTCACTTTTTTTCCTTCAAAATTTAGTCCGGCCCCCCACAAGGTCTGAGGGACAGTGGACCGGCCCCCTGCTGAAAAGGTTTGCTGTCCCCTGTGCTAGAACATTGCAATGAAATCTCTGCAAAATGATCAATCCTCTTAGGCCTCTCCCTTTCTGCCCTGCAGATCTTCCCGGCTCCCTGCACAGCTCTCCGTGTCCTGCGGCCAGCAACACCGTAGACGAAGCCATGTTTGCAGCTTGCCCGGTGAATGAACCTGTGGAGAGCTGCGAAACATCCTTGGATCCTCCAGTGACCTTGGAGCGGAAACTGCAGGACGAGCTGAACTACCACGTGCACGGCAGCAGGATGGACAAGGCGGAAGGCCGTTCCATGTCGTACAGCGCCGAAATGCTGGAGCAGGAGAGGAGGAGGAAGGTGTCTCACGACCCGTATGCAAAGGCGACTGCTGCCCGCCCGATGCAGGAGTCACACCTGAGGCCTGAAAAGGTTGGGCCTGGCGCCCGTCATAGCAACACCACTGTGGACCCGTACAGTCGTCAGTGGAAACCACCCCCACTCAGAGCTACTCTGGAAAGGGAAAATAATAGCCGGCCGAATCCAGTTAGGCACTATGGGACCGGACCTGCAAATCTCAGAGCATCTCTAAGCCCAGAAGATCTCTATGGATCAGCCAATCCCTTTAGCTTCAATAAACCGCCCGTACCTGAATCTGGTGTGGATCGTCAATCTAACCCATTCAGACCTTACTATTTTGGCAAAAGCTTCAGTACAGAAACTGGTAAGTGAACTGATTGAGGGTCTTCTTCTTGTTCCTTCAGGGAGAAAGATCACACATGCCTAAGACCAGCAGTAAAATGACTCTTCTTTACTACCTTCTATGAAGAAAATAAAAGCTGTCCCATTTTTTATGTGCCAGTCTTTCGTCCCATCCTACTAACCCTGGGAAGGTAAAATGTAATAGCAATTCAAAATCTAGTGAGCTTTAAGGTTACTATGCATATTTATATTTATGTCTTTTATTAAATTTTCATCCTGCCCTCCCTTCAAGGAGCTTGCGGCAAACAATTCTCCCCACTCCTGTACCATTTCACTTCACAACCTTCTGAGGTTGACTGAAATGAATATTTGTCTGAGGTCGCCCAATGAGCAGCACTGACTGGGGGGCTTTGTGGAATGGAATCACTTTTGTCCAGGCATCTGAACTGCGAAATACTATTTGTGGTGCAGTTTCTACAGAGAGCATTAACGTCGCTAATTCGTTCATTGTGCTGTATTTTATTTGTATTGTTTTCTTAGGACTGTCATGTTTCATTATCAATGTTGTAAGCTGTGCTCCATTTTGGGATATCCATCTGTACATAAGGGATACTCCAGCGCCCTAAAAACTGGGTGGTGGCCCTTTTGTGCCGTGGTACTAAAAGGGCTTTTGATCCAGTGGAATCACCTCAGAAGACGAGAGAAGGTTTTTGCCAATCCCCTTTGCCCAGCAATCCCCAGTGTGCTTTGGAAACCTGTTCTGGAGCAGTTTTATTTGTTTGTTTGTAATTAGATCTCTTACCTGCCCTTCAACAATAATCCTGTGGGTTACAACAATAAAATATGCAATTATAAAACAAATAAAAGCATTACAACCATAAAACAAACGCAAGCAAGCGTTTTGAGGGAGAATCGGCAAAAACTCCCTTGGCATCTCTCTTTGTCGGCGGTTCCCTCGCTGCGAGAAGCCAAGTTACAGGGAAACAGGCAGAGGGCCTTCTCGGTAGTGGCACCCGCCCTGTGGAATGCCCTCCTACCAGATGTCAAAGAGAAAAACAACTACCAGACTTTTAGAAGACATCTGAAGGCAGCCCTGTTTAGGGAAGCTTTTAATGTTTAATAGACTATTGTATTTTAAGATCTTGTTGGAATCTGCCCAGAGTGGCTGGGGAAACCCAGCCAGATGGGCGGGGTATAAATAATAAATTGTTGTTGTTGTTGTTTAATGTTTCAAGAGCAGTGGTGCAGTTTTGACACAGTTTGCATACCTCTTTAGATCCAGAGGAATCGACCTCTTTTATGAAGACGAACTTTGCCCATACACCTATACACAAAAAGAATTCAGGTAAAAAACTAGTTATTTCTTGATATGAGCAGTGTGATCTCAACATGAGTGGCATGAGCGGTCTGGACTCTTTAAGGCTATAATACCATTTGGTAGCTTGAAAGCAGAAGTAGAGAAGCTCCAATCCATGGGCCAATCTTGGCTTACATGGCTATTTCCCTCCAATCATATCCACCTGTCCATCAGCTGATGTCACACGTGAAATGAACTGATTGACCAGGGTGGGTGGGATCCAATTCTGCCTTGGCTGAGTGTGCCTATTCCCAGCAGCCAAATTTGTAGGATTTAACCCCACTTCCCCATGGTTTATTTGGCACACTAGTTGCATTTTTGGAGGGCCCCACGGTGCTAACAGCATAGACTATGTTAGGTTGCAGAATTGGCCCTTGCAATCTGCTCCTTCCACAAGGAGAGAGTTTGAGATTCCCTTTTGTGGTGCTGTTCCTTTTCAAAATGAAAAAAGCCAGAGTTTTTGGAGCTCCAGAAACAGCTGCTTGCTTGATCTCAACAAGATACAGTCACATTCACTGAACGAAGTCTCAAAATGCATTATCTCTTTGACTCAAAAGACTAAATTCTCACAATGTTTTTGAAACATTGGTGATATAGAACAGCGATGTCAAACTGGTCGACCACGATCGACAGGGTAGATCCTCTGGAGATCGTGGCAAACTTTTAGTCCCTGAGAATAAAAAAACAGTTGAATGAATGTCTCGGGCCCCCGCTGTGTACGTTTGATTGTGTTGGCGTTTACAGCAAGCGATTTATGGCATTCACCCCCAAAAAGCTGAACAACTCTGGACTCTCCTCCTAAAAAAAGCTAGATCACTGCCAGTTTGCTTAAACTAGGAGTAGATAGCAGTCTCTTGAGAGCTGGACGTGCCTGATATAGAAGAGCCAACATGTTTTCTCTTTGGGGAGTTTGTTGTCTTGTCCTACTGATCTGACTGACACAAGCTTTCAAAGGTTTGCTATGATTTTAACTCTTATCAAAGAACTATTGGAGCAGCCTGCAGTGGCGTAGCGTGGGGGGTACAGGGGGGCCGGCCGCACCGGGCGCAACATCTGGGGTTAGGGCAAATCCACAGGTTAGGGGGCGCAAATCCACGGGTTAGGGGGCGCAAATTACTTGCCTTGCCCCGGGTGCTGACAACCCACGCTACGCCACTGGCAGCCTGGCTTGCTCAGTTGGTTAGAGCATGGTGCTGATAATGTCAAGGTCACATTTCCGTATGGGGCAGCTGCATATTCCTGCATTGCAGGGGGTTGGACTAGATGATCCTCAGGGTCCCTTCCAACTCTACAATTCTATCATTCCATGATTAACTATACCAGACACCAACCTGAGAAATAAACCTGGTTGTGTAAATATGCCCTTGTAACATAAACTCTAGGAGCAGGAACCATTCTTTCCTTGATGTGAAACTACCCAACATATTAAGTGCAGCATTCAAATAATGCATTTTTGCCATTTTACGATTTCCATCATAAAATTAACATGTGTCAACACACTGGTCAGTAATTTATCCCCCTGCACTGTCCCTGTGCTCATTTTGTTTGTGTGTAGTTTTATACTTGCTTTATTAAACGGGTGTTTTTTTAAAAAAATGTCTTACATACAGGAGAACCTGCAAGCTACAATATATATAATAGTAGTGCAATTCAGATAGGCTCTCACAACGTCTTAACCATTAAACAAAAACCTCAAGAAATATGTACTATGCCGGAAAATACTTATTATAATCCTGCAGATTACCAGAAACTGTTTGGTAAGTAATGAAGTTAAAACTTTTTTCTTCCTTCATGAAATAGTTCTTGCTTTCAAAGCCATACATTTTCCTTTGAAACTCTGTTCAGGATATGTACAGTGGTACCTCGGGTTACATACGCTTCAGGTTACATACGCTTCAGGTTACAGACTCCGCTAACCCAGAAATAGTGCTTCAGGTTAAGCACTTTGCTTCAGGATGAGAACAGAAATCGTGCTCAGGCAGCGCGGCAGCAGTGGGAGGCCCCATTATCTAAAGTGGTGCTTCAGGTTAAGAACAGTTTCAGGTTAAGAACAGACCTCCGGAACGAATTAAGTACTTAACCTGAGGTACCACTGTAGTTAGGATTGAATAGAACTGAAAACATCTAGCAAGGAAAGATACGACATGCTCAAACTGAGGTCCAGCTCCGAGGGCCTTCTGGCAGTTCCCTCCCTGCATGAAGTGAGCTTATAGGGAACTCAGCAGAGGGCCTTCTCTGTAGTAGCGCCTGCCGTGTGGAACACTCTCCTTTCCGATATCAAACAGTTAAACAACTAAATGAATTTTCATAGAAATCTAAAGGGAGCCCTGTTTTGGGAAGATTTTTATGTTTGATGTTTCCCCCCCTTCCTTTCTTTCCTCTGTATTTTGTTGGAAGCCACCCAGAGTGGCTGGGGTATAAGAAATAAATTAGTAATAGTAGTAACAAAAATATTAATCTGTAGAAACAGATTAATGCACAATTAATGCAGACTTTGCAGTCAGGTTTTGGGATTCTGACCCTGAAGATTCTGGTCTTCTAGCTTGTATCCCTAAGTAGTAGTACAGTGGTACCTTGGGTTACATACGCTTCAGGTTATAGACTCTGCTAACCCAGAAATAGTGCTTCAGGTTAAGAACTTTGCTTCAGGATGAGAACCAAAATCGTGCTCCGGCAGCGCGGTGGCAGCAGGAGGCCCCATTAGCTAAAGTGGTGCTTCAGGTTAAGAACAGTTTCAGGTTAAGAACGGACTCCGGAACGAATTAAGTACTTAACCTGAGGTACCACTGTACAGTGGTACCTCAGTTTAAGAACAGTCCTGTTTACAAATGATTTGGTTTACGAACTCCGCAAAACCGGAAGTAGTGTCCCGGTTTGCAAACTTTACCTCGGTCTAAGAACGGAATCCGAATGGTGGAAGGGCATCGGCGGTAGGAGGCCTCATTAGGGAAAGCACGCCTTGGTTTAAGAACAGTTTCGGTTTAAGAACAGACTTCCGGAACAGATTAAGTTTGTAAACCGAGGTACCACTGTAGTACTAATAGTACTGTTATTAATAACAAAATATGAATCTGTAGAAACAGAGATGCTAGTGATCTCCACAAAACGCAGACTTTGCAGTCAGATTTCGGGATTCTGACCCTGAAGGTTCTGGTCTTCTAGCTTGTATCCCTTAATGCCACTGGTGGCAAGTAGCTGCCTCTTAGGCTGTGATGCACAGTGATGTTATTGTTGCTGCATGCTAGCGCTTCTCTTCCTTTCCTTCTCTCTCCCCCACCCCACACTTTCATAAATAAGTGCCCCACTTCAGTAGGAAAAAACTATTTTCCCCAGTTGTTCACATTTTTTAAAAAAGTGTAGCAAATCATGGGTTTCCAGTATGACTTTGCTAACCTACTACTAATTAGTGAGAGCTAGCATGGTGTGGTGAAGTGGACAGAGTGTTGGGGTGGATCAAATCTTGGATGCCTGGATTCAAATGCCTGCTCAGCCATGAAAATGGGCAAAATCAACCTTAGCCCACCTCACAAGGTCGTTGTGAGAACACCATGATTACTCCATGTGGGCCACCCGGCGCTTCTCAGAGGCAGGGCAGGATACAAAGATGGTAAACAATACATTAGATATGTCCCAGCTCCTGCCAACCTAGCAGTACGAAAGCATACCAGCACGAATAAATAGGTACCACTGCGGTGGGAAGGTAAACGGCGTTTTCTTGCTCTCCGGTTTCTGTCATGGTGTTCCATTGCACCAGAAGCGGTTTAGTCATGCTGGCCACATGACCTGGAAAGCTGTCTGTGGACAAACGCCGGCTCCCTTGGCCTGAAAGCGAGATGAGCGCTGCAACCCCGTAGTCGCCTTTGGCTGGGCTTAATCGTCCAGGGGTCCTTTACCTTATATCTATTTATATATATATTGGCATGCACTCAGAGCCCTGCATTCACTGTTAGCAGCAGGGTTGACCTGCCTGCCCCCTCGCACCCATGTTTCTCATGCAAGATGGAGTTTGTCAGGATCTTCCTATTGTCTCCGAGAACAAAAGAAACAGTGTTCCTGATATGAATTTGGAGAACTGCTAAACAGATGATATAATGAAATTCAGTTAGAGGGGATTCAAGGAAGTCAGTTATCAATGTAATGAAATTAGGATTTGGAAGTGATAATTCTTTTTTATATGTTTTTCTTTGTTTTTGTGTATTGTAGTGTTTTTCTTTTCTCTGGTTTCTTTTTATGTGATAAGTGTGAAAACCAATAAAAAAAATTGAAAGAAAAGAAACGGTATTCCGTCGCCAAAGCACTAAAGAAACATTTTCCTTTTGTCGCCACCAGAGAACACTGCTCTCGTTTCGGAAGTGCAACTGAACCTCGTGAGAGAAAATATGGGGAAGAAGTGGAAACCCACGGCGCGGAAGCTGGGCTTCAGCAACCCTGACCTGGAGGAAATTGACCACGACTACGAGCGAGATGGGTTAAAGGAAAAAGTTTATCAAATGTTTCAGAGGTGGCAGATGAAGGAAGGGAGCAAAGGAGCGACGGTGGGAAAGCTGGCCAGAGCTCTCTTTGCTAGCCAGAGGATAGATCTCCTTGCCAAAATAAAGCAGGAGTCAGAAATGAGTAACAAATGAGAGTCATAAACCAGCATAAACTACTTTGCAGGGGAAAGTATGGACATTTTGCTTTACAGTATCTTGATTGCCATTATGAATGCTCTGGTGCTGACTGTATAGAATTTGCCGTCAAATGAATGTATTTGTATAATTTTAATTTTTTAAAAAACCCAATATAAATGGACGCAAGACTGCTCTAGCTTTATTGTAAATAATAAAATATTATCAGATACAAAAACTGAAAGCGTATATCAATCTTGAGTCACTCACTATTCGCATATAGAAGAAGAGGAGGAGTTTGGATTTGATATCCCGCTTTATCACTGCCTGAAGGAGTCTCAAAGCGGCTAACATTCTCCTTTCCCTTCCTCCCCCCACAACAAACACTCTGTGAGGTGAGTGGGGCTGAGAGACTTCAGAGAAGTGTGACTAGCCCAAGGTCACCCAGCAGCTGCATGTGGAGGAGCGGAGACACGAACCCGGTTCCCCAGATTACAAGTCTACCGCTCTTAACCACTACACCACACTGGCTCTCAGTAAGAACCAAGCAAGGAAAGACTGGGGGAAACGGCACTTTCTAGCAATACCACTGCCGTTGCTCTTCTTTTTTAAATTAGTTTTTATTAAAGTTTTGTTTGTTTGTTAAAAAACAGATAATCTCCTTAACATCTGATAGGAGGGTGTACCACAGGGCTGGTGCCACTGCCAAGAAGGCCCTCTGCCTGGTTCCCTGTAGCCTCACTTCTCGCAGTGAGGAAACCGCCAGAAGGACCTCAGAGCTGGACCTGAAAAATGGGGGTTGAGATGCTCCTTCAGCCACTCACTCCTGTACATGGGATTTGATCCTAAGGAACTGTGCACAGGATTTCAGACTAGGTCTGGCTAATCATTGTAGCTCAATGTTATGGCTTGTTTTGGACTCTGTTGTTTTGGACTGGGCTAGTCCCATTCTGTCTTTGGTACTAACAGCATGGAGATTAGTCAGCGCACTATGAACAGCCCAGTTTTATGGATGTCAGGCTCACCACACCATACATATGTACCAGGGACATGGGTGGCGCTGTGGTCTAAACCACTGAGCCTCTAGGGCTTGCTGATTAGAAGGTTGGCGGTTCAAATCCCCACAATGGGGTCAGCTCCCGTTGCTCTGTCCCAGCTCATGCCAACCTAGCAGTCTGAAAGCATGCCAGTGTGAGTAGATAAATAGGTACTGCTGTGGCGGGAAGGTAAATGGTATTTCCATGTGCTCAGGTTTCTGTCACAGTGTTCCGTTGCACCCGAAGCGGTTTTAGTCCTGTTGGCCACATGACACGGAAAGCTGTCTGTGGACAAACACCGGCTCCCTCAGCCTGAAAGCAAGATGAGCGCTGCAGCCCCATAGTTTTCGCTTTTGACTGGACTTAACTGTCCAAGGGTCCTTTACCTAGATATGTGCAATAAAAGACTTCCAGTTCAGATCTAGCATGCCGTGGCCTCAGAAGGCAAGGATTACAGAACAGTAGAATGATTTGTAATGGTAGTGTTTTTGGTCACACGTCGGGTGAATTATATGTAGTTAAAAGGACCAGGTATGTGAAACAATACCAATTGTAGCATACCCAATATCTTAACCATGGCTATGAGTCTGCAAGGGGACCACAGGACTCCCTTTTCCCTGGAATCCGCATGTACAATCTTAGCTGCAGCTTTTATGTTACATCAGCATCAACAGCAACCACAGTTAACTCCCATGAAGTTCCCTGGTAGCTATGGAAGCAGCCTCAAATCCTGATTTCACATCCTGGTTAAGAACGAACCTCAGTGGCAGGAGAAATTGGAGCCAAGGAAGGGAACTGGCGCATAATCCCATGCCTCCTAATCTTTGATTGTGTAAAATATACATACTTTGGGACCCACTCTGGTAGTGACTGCCATTTGTTTTAAGCTGCTTTATCTACATTGTTACCATCCTGGGACTTGGAGGGAATTATTATTTAAACTGTTTTTTATAACTGCTCCTTGTTTTTAAGCTCCTGTTGGTTTCATGTGTTAGTTTGTTTCATTTTTAGGTTACATTTTGCCTCTTAAAATGTATCTGCATGACTTATTTTGTGTTGTGTGGACTTTGTAAAAGCTGCCCTGTGTACTTTTGTAGAAAACAGGGTATAAAAATGTTATGATCATCATTAGCAGAGTTAACAAATTGTAAGAACATGGTAGTGTGGTAGAATAATAATAATAATAATAATAATAATAATAATAATAATAATAATAATTTTTTATTTATATCCCGCCCTCTCCAGCCAAAGCCAGGATCTGAGCGGCTAACAACAATAAAAATAGCATATTTTACATAAAATCACAATCAATTAATTAAAATACATTCTAAATTCAATTCAGAATCAAATTCATGGCAACCATTGGGCTAGAGTTCTATGAGGATTACAGAAGGAAGGGGTCAGACTGTGCCTTGGCCAAAGGCCTGGTGGAACAGCTCTGTCTTGCAGGCCCTGGGGAAAGATGTCAAGTCCCACAGGGCCCTAGTCCCTTGTGACAGAGCGTTCCACCAGATCGGGGCCACAGCCAAAAAAGCCCTGGCTCTGGTTGAGGCCAGCCTAGGGTGCCAGACCAGGGTTGTGGAGGCCCAGATTCAGATTTCCACTCAACCAAGAAGTAGATTGAGTGAGCTTGGGCTACTCGCAGGGTTGTTATGAAGTGAGAAGGATCGCCTTGTGCCCCTTGGAGAAAAGGAGGAATAGGAATGCAATGAAGACATAAATATATTGAGCTCCACTGGATAAGGTGCAGGAAGTTGAGCATGCCCTTTCCAACAGTAGCCAGGGAGCTAGTCTGCTAGGTTGCTAGGAATTAGGGCGGCGGCGGGGGGGGGGATAAATGAAACAATTAAAAGCAGGGCCCAATTTAGGTTTGAGGCGGCCCTAAGCTACTGAAGGTAATGGGGCCCTTTATATGTCCAGCTGTCCTTTGTCAACAACAAGTTGTCCGTGTTTTATGTGTTGAATATATGCTATATGGTAATTTATGGACCTAAATGTAAAGGTAAAGGGTCCGACTCTGGGGTTGCGGCACTCATCTCGCTTTATTGGCCGAGGGAGTCGGCGTACAGCTTCCGGGTCATGTGGCCAGCATGACTAAGCCGCTTCTGGCGAACCAGAGCAGTGCACGGAAACGCCGTTTACCTTCCCGCTGGAGTGGTACCTATTTATCTACTTGCACTTTGACGTGCTTTCGAACTGCTGGGTTGGCAGGAGCAGGGACCGATCAATGGGAGCTCCCCCCGTCACGGGGATTTGAACCGCCAACCTTCTGATCGGCAAGTCTTAGGCTCTGTGGTTTAACCCACAGCGCCACCCGCGTCCCTATATGCTATATATGCTATATGGTAATTTATGGACCTACTAGGTATCTAAAGTCATTTGCACATAACAAAATCCATTTTTTTTCCTTTAATTTTTTTTGGAAATTGTTTAGCTTGTAGATCTGATTAAAAGCCAAACTAAACCAAAACCATCCGCACTCCAAATGGATCGCCTCAGCCTGCCTAATAACGATAGGGCCGGCCCTGCTTCTCCTTCCCGGCCTGCAGCTTGGTTGCGAAATCGGCGCCTGTTAACCCTTCGAGGACCCGCTCGGTGCCCCGTCCTTCCCTTGGGAAGGCGAAGGCGGAGTCACCGCACGGCAGAACCAGAAAAGAGCCATGGCTCGGCCGGGAAGCGGAGGGCTCTTGCTGCGGCGCCTTCTCTCGCAGCTCTCCCGCTCCGCGCAGGGGGGAGCGACGCTGCGGGTCTCCCAGGCGCCGGCTGCTTCCTACGGGTAAATTCCCTGTTGAGACGGGGCGGACAGGCGAGGCGGGGGAGGCTCTGCAGCCTCAGCGACTTAGGGACGGGAAGGCGGGGGAGGGATTGTGCGCGCGCGCAGTCGGTGGCTTCCGACGACCACGGGGCGGTGGGCAGAACGTTAAAGAAGGGGGGAGGAGACGCGTGCGTGCCTAACGCGGAAGGTTAGAGAGCATAGCGCGCAGCCCAGTGGTTCCCAAACTTCTTTTCTCTGGGCCACACTTTCAGCATAAATATTTGCTCGCGCCACACCGATATTATTTTTAATTTAATTTAATTTAATTTTTGTTTGTTTGTTTGATAAGAAATACATCGGGAAAACAAAGAGAAATAACTCCTAGCCATAAATTAAAAAAAATACTTGCAGATATCTCGGTTCTGCTCCCCCTAACATAAATCCTGCCCAGTGCACGGCTCCTTTTATCACATGATCACGGGACGTCCAGAAAGTACCATGTGAAAACAGCACAGTTGCAGAAGAACAGGAATCCTTCCCAAAATTTGATTATAAGCAAGCCTCTTACATATGCACCATAAATAACGCAACGAGAGGTGTGAGCTTGCAGTATTGCAATTGTTGCCCCTGTGATTCGGTTTTCCTTCCCAAATAAACACATAAAGCTGGTTCAGTTGCTGGTATCACACTTCCCCGCTCCCCAGTCCAATGTCTAGATTAGTGGATCCATTATTTTTGTGTGCCTTTGTTAGTCATTAACTCAACAGATTGGTTTCCAGCTACATAGAAGCAAAACAGCAGATACTGAGTAAAAGAAGGGAATTGGTGGAAGCAAGGCCATGTTGAGCATTTTATTGGAAGCTCAGGAGAATATTATGCATTCTGGGTGCCATTCCTTAAAGAAGTATGACTCCAGAACAGGGGAGTTGGAGTCCACCATTTATCTGTCAGGGGAGCCTGACAGAACCCTGGGAGCGATGTTTTAATATAACTCGAAATGGTTGAGCATCAAATCTCAGTTTTACTTTTTTCTGTACGTATACACCTATTTAATAACTAAAATACCAGCATGCAATTAGTAAGTGACATTACTCGCTTCACAATGGGATGTAATTGATAGTTCTGAATTTGGATTGTAAGGAGATCTGTGTGGGAGAAGAAACCAGATCAAATGAGGCTGAAGGATTTGGCTTACCAATGTTGCAATAACGCACTGATGTTCCTCATCTTTTGTAGAGTACAGTCATACCTCAGGTTGTGCGATTTTGGGTTGCACACCGCGCCGAAATCGGAAGTACCAGAACGGGTTACTTCCAGGTTTCAGCGCTTGCGCATGCGCAGAAGCACTAAATTGCGCTTTGCGCACATGCAGAAGCACCGAATTGTGGCCCATGCATGCGCAGACGCATGGGTCATGGGTTGCAAATGCTGTGGATTGCGAACGT